TCTCTCTCTCTCTCTCTCACACACACACACACACACACACACACACAAAGGGGGTCCGAAATCCCCCGACAGGTGAGTGCACTGGGGGGGGCCGGCCCCCAACCGGGTGCCCTGCCCGGCCAGGCCGCCCGGGACCTCCCCCGAGGCCCTGCCGTTCACCCGGGCGGCCCGGATCCCCACTCAGGAAATACAGAAATAAATAAATTACGTTCGCCTTCTAATTTAGTATCTACCTACCACAGCAGAAGAGTGCACATGATGCGGATGAAATTCCATTTGTTTTTTTTCTTGTGGGGGGAGGGGGCACCATCCTATTATTTTAGGGGTAACTTCAGTACAGTCACAAAAACAGTTTGAAATTACACTTCAGGCATTCCCCCAAACACAACACACCCCCATGTAACCCCTACCTGACAGGAAAGCTAGCTTGTATACATTGCCCAGAGTGCAATTTGAAACCCTTTTTCGCCTGAAGTGTATTTTGAAACTCTTTTTGTGACTCCCGTGTTGTTTCCCCATTATTTTATTTCCAATTGATTCCCATCTTTGAAGCTAAATGGGAGGCTTGCATTGGTCTGGTAAGAGCCTTAAAGGATGAATCTGTGGCTATAATTAGCACCGTTAAATTGTCAGGCAAAGAGCAGAACTGTCAGCCGTTGGATTGTGTGTCCCCTCTTGTCTTTAATAATAGCTAATCTTTCTATTGAGGGATACTTTCTAAGGAAAGAGGCTACTGCCTCCATGAGAAGGATGTGACGAACCGGTTTCTGTTCCGCGCGACTTTCTGCTCGATAACAACGAGGGGTCCTAAGCTGGGAAGGATGGGCCAATTACGGGAGATCGGGATTGAGAGAGAATTGCATCAGTGTCCTCGCTTTGTCGCCTTTTCTCTTTGTCGCTTCTTTTCGGATGGCTGGATTCAGGGCCGGGCAAGTCCCAGGATGATTGATTGAGTGGCTGCCGCGCCGACCAGGCGCGATTAATAAGGGTTGACGCCACTTCTTTTCTGTGCTGTTGTCGGATTTTAGGCCCAGAAACGCGCGGGAATTTTTGCTTCATTCTTTTTGAATTCCTTTTTGGATCTTGTCGAGCCCCAATGGCTCTCGAAACTTCGGACTTTCTTGTCGGAATTTGTGCTTCTTTTTGCATTAGCTAGGAATTTAGGAATTTTGAGAATTTATGATTTCCTTTTGCCGCTCAGCGCTTTTTGCTTACGCGCTTCTTCTCGCGGCTGCAACGAAACTTTGATTAGTCGGCGCCCTTAATCGTATGTGTAACTGTAATTTTGGGCGGGCGCCACTGTAACTGTATCTTCCTTCTTGAACTTCGTCTTTCCCGCTCTCGCTTTTTCTCTTGATACGTCTAGCTAGCCCGCGGACTGCATGATCGGATCGATGCGTGGAGAGAGGCTATGTCCCCCACGCCGCGGCCCGGCCATGCAGAACGCAGGCGCTCCCCCTCCTAATCTCCTTTCTAAGTCCATGCAATTTCGTGTTCTTCGCGCATGCATGCACGCTATAAATTCCGGCTGCGCGATTAGATGGCTCTCTTAACCAGCTGTTGGAAGCTCGGGGAGCGCGATCAGTGAGGGTCGGCTCACGAGTGAAGTAAGAGGTGAGTTGAAGTGGGAGTCGGGCGACCCGACGGGCTGGTG